ATAATAAGCTTACCACAAGCACACGTGACATCATCTAGAAAAATTATATTTGTATGTATGTATAATAAAACAAAATCTCTACAATTTTACGCATTTGTGTGTATGTATATTCAAATACATACCTGTGTATAAATACTTCAAGGATATGAAGTATATTAGTCGATTAATACGAGTAGAGCAGAATATGTATGTGTGTTGCGTGTCACGTGTTTCCCTGAGCAGCTACACGTGCGCAGAGTAAATAGATTCGATTTCAACGCCACTGTGGGACGTTTGCAAATGAAAAGATAATCAAAAAGCATGGGCATGGGAAACAGTCGCATTTCCTCGTTCATATCTCTCTCTGCGCTGTGCTCCACAAATTCGTACTTTAACTTTTCGCAGCAACCGCGTGTGGCCACATAGGTGCTAATGAATAAATCAAAAAGAAGTTAAGCCCCAATTCCCGGGAAATTTGAAACCTATGTAGCGGCTTAAGCGGTCGTACTATCAAGCTTTAGCTGCTGCTGTACAGCATCAACTCTTGCCATATTTTTATCCTTGCTGCTGCCAATTCTCCACCTTTGGTTGCTAACTCACAGCATTTTGGTGGCATCGTGAATCCTTTGAAGCTAACGAAATTAATTTTCCGCGCGTGTCAAAGCATAAATAAGCAGTCTTACACGCCTAGTTGACTATATTCAGTTGCCTAGTTACAATCTAACTTTATACTGCGATCTCTCCTTCTTTGTCCTTTGAGTTACGAATATACCCTACATAGATACTTGTACTGCTGTCGACTGTGCTCAGCTGCTTTCCAACTGCTTTTCTACATCTTTGTATCAATGTTTGTAAGTTTGCATGTGTATTCAACTGCCAACCTCTATCATTTTCATCCGCTTTCACCTCGTAATCCACTCGTTTGTAGGCTTGATGAGGATTCGGGAATAGTTTTGTTTGAAGTTTATGTTTGTATTAACCTTTGAGCATTGGCTTCCTCAAATCCCACATCCATATTAATAAAAGCACATTTTCAGTGTAGAATGTTTGAGGCTAATTGGAGTTTATTCGATACACCGGCAACCTTTTCCGCTGCTGGCAAAGGGTAAGCTTAAATATTGGATATACATAATGAACTTTAATCGCTTAAATATGCTCTTCTTTTAGCCCGTGAACATAAGTAGCTAAACATAAGGTACTAAAATAAATTACGGTTTAATTGGAGCTGTTTGCAATGTCATAAATTTCATTGATGTTTACATTGTAACAGCATTATTTTTAAAAACTTTTAGAACCTCTTTCTCTTCTGGATTGCTCTTCTTCTCACAGGTGCAATACATAAGTATTTTCCTCGTCAACCAGTACTCCGCCTGAAAGTATGCAACATAAACGTCTGTGCCATTATTTTCTGCTTCATTTCGCAACTTAGTTTTTACATCATAAACTCCTCAAATGGCTTATAAAGAAAATTGATTTTAGTTTGAATACCGACAATGAAATTCAAATAGTCCACCAACCTTAGATAGGATATCAAAAATGCAGTATATGGTTTTAGATGGCTTTGGATATACCTCTTTCTTTTCGGATCACGGTAGGATACGCGTCACCATAGATTTGGTGGTAGAAGTTTCTCAGCCTTTTAAAAATCCTAAGAAAGCAAACTGAGAAAAAAATTTCCAGATGTAGCTAATCGCTTGACTGTGGTTCTGATCAAGTATTTCCAGCAAGGTCAACTTAGATTGACGTCACAAAAGTCCTGCAACAAAGCGCAAGTACAGTCGGCATTAAGAGTATGATGAGAGTATGTTAAGAGAAGAACGATTCCTGGCAAAAGTTTTGTAAAACCTTGGAAACCACAAATGAGCCGCCAAGTCTAAAAAAGATACCAACAAGGCCACATGTGTCTATGGGTAGTATTTATAAAAGCCAGGCTGAACTTGGACAGTCTCTTCCAAGGACATTATGATGAGAAACCACCTTTAAGGTAGCACTAACCAAATTGCTAGCGTTGAACTAACAAATCGCCCTCATGTGCTAGCACTAAGGACAGAAAATGATGATATCACTAACTAAATCGCTAATCTCCAAGTAGCAAATCGGCCTAGGTAGTTTAGGCTATCAAGTCTTTGAAGTCCGTTCGAAGCAGTGGAAGCGGATGCCGGTTGCAACAAGTAAATTCTCAAGATACTTCTCCGATGAGTATGTACCGAAAGGTGAATGTAACATTCGTTCCTGAGACATGATAACTAAGGCAAAGTAATTCAGTCCTACGAGTTAATTGTATTTTATCCTATCATTGCTTGTAAGATAAAATTACCTACACATCAGCAAAAAACTAGCTCCCAGACGTCCGGACTCATTTTAGAGTCAAAAAAGTCTCAGAATTCTGAGTTGTAACCCTCTTTATGAGCTCAACAAAGAGTCTTAACAGAGCATATTTCCCTTCTTAGAAGGGCACGCCAATACGAGTCCAAGTTAGGAGTTATATTAGAGTCTGAAATATGACGCTTTCCTGAACTCCAAAAACAAATATTCTTTATAATTCTGATTATTAATAAACTTTTACATATACGTGGACTTTGTTATTTATGTTCAACTTTGTATTTATGACAACAAAAGAGTCCGAAATTAGTCATTCTGGTTGATTGGTCTCAGAATCACATTTATGACGAAAGAACGACTCATTTTTTACTCATAAATACTGAGCACTTAGAAACTGTTTAAAGGGTAGCGCAACATACATACATACGTATACATAAGAGTAGAACTACGGAAAGCGCGACCCATGTACTGATAAATAAAATCGCGTAATCTAAAGAATGTTAGAAATATACCCTGGCAGGCTTCCTAGGCATAGAAAGAGCCTTCAATAATCTCCGAATTGAAGCAATAGGCAGACACTCCATACCTGAGAGCATCGTTAAAGCATCGGCAATTCAAAGCATTGCTCGATGAATTTCAGAGTGAATTCGGTGACATATTCTACGACTCTGAAGTAAGATGGCTGAGTCAAGGTAAAGTGCTCCCAATATTTGTAGCTTTGATGACAGAAATAAAGATTTTCCTGAAATCCAAAGGCAGCATTTTTAACTGATGTGACTGCAAAACTAAATGATTTCAATACAACTTACAACAATACAGTTGACAAAGAAAAACTTTCAGCATTGCCGGACGTTTACTCTTCTGGAACAGGCTTTTTCACAACTAATGGTATAAAAACAAATACCGAAACGTACTGACTGACGAGCATGTCAAAAATAACATGATTTTAGCCTGCACAACTGTGCAATATAAACCAGATTTTAAGAAGTTATCTGAAAATATGAAGATTCAAGCATCGTATTAAGTTTATTGGGCATGTGCTGCGAGTCGTACGATTTGAAATCGGTGCGATTTGCAAACTATTTTTGATTATTTTTAGGGAAAGTAATAAATATTTCAAATGAAAACGGCGAGAAACACATAACTTACGTCATATCTATCGATTCAGTGCCAAATTTCGCCGTTTTGTTAATCAATCTCCGAAGAAGGTTTTGCAGATCGCATCGATCTCAAATCGTTCCCATTACCATTCCCATATGTTTACAATAAAATGAATGTTCTTCATTAAAATATTATGCACTGTTATTAACTTAACTTAACTGTATAACCTTTAATAATAAATAAATATTTTAAAAGGACCAGTTATTAGAATATATAGAGTTAGACGAGTTAACGCAGTTAAGATTGAAGTTAAGCTAGCGGTGCCCGCGTATTATAGCGATAGTTTCAAAGTAGCCCTTTGTCCAAGTTCTGTTGGACACCACTGCTTTAAACAATCTCAATTTTCAACCGAGTTGCTAAGCTCTACCGCAGCAAAACGTCCACTTGTAAAGGAAAACAACACTAACTATTAGCAATAGAAAAGATACATACATAAAATTTTCATTGAAAAAAATAATAAAAATTCAAACTCAAGCTTTTTGCTTGGCTCCGTGACAGCCTATGGAATAATCTCAATACATATTATAAATGCAACAAAAACAAACAAAGTAAAAGGCAAACAAACAAAAGTATACAATGTGCCAACAACTAAAGGCGCCAACTAACAATAGCAACAACAACAGTCAACAGAAGAAAAGAAGGCTTTGTTAAATCAACAATGGGAATTAACAAACGAAGTGATTTAACTTTCGCCCAACAAGCGCAACAAACACAGCGATCGCCAACAGCAATAACAACTAAAAATGCACGACTGCCAATTCTGCGGCTGTCAACGAGCAACTAGCGCACATATACACATACATACGTACAAATATATGTACTCACGTAAAGAAAATAACCAACAGTTGGCAACAATCAAATCTCAAGCGACACACAAAAAATATCAGTTGACAACAAGTTTACGCAGCAACAAAAAGTTACAAAAATAACATGCATACATTTAGGCGCACTAGCAAAAAAAAAACGACGAAAAGCAAAATAACTAGAAAAACATTTGTCCTCTGACCGGGCAGCTCGTTCGTCTTGGCCAAATGCGACACCTACGCCCATTAATCATAACGATAAAGCATTGAATTGAAGTGGAGGGGGTGTTAATGGTCGATGGTAGTCGACTCCACCTCTAAATGTATATGTATAAGTAGAGTAGCAAAAAAGCAACAACTACAAGAGGAAATAAAAAAGCGACCAAATATAAATCATAGCAACAGTATA